CCACTGTTTGGTGAACTTAATAGTAAGGAAATGGAAAGAGTTTAAGCGAGATTTCCCAAAAAATCAGGAAATGCATTACTCGCGGTGATAGGTGAAAAATCTATTACGGGAGTGACTGGTAATTTTGAGAAATCTTTCACGTGCGTTTTTGCCTATGCTATTCCTGATTAAAAAATATACTCTCTTGGAATCCCTCTCTCTTCATAATATCTAGTATAGGTGATCCTTCCCTTTTTAAGCTCGTACCCTCATGTGAAAGCATAGCTGTGATATAAAAACAAAAATAGTAAAAATAAAAATCAGTAATCAATAATGAATTATACAACACAATCATAATAAAAAATTTTACACAACATAATCCTCATAAGAAGTTACTAAAATCTCAATTGAAATAACATACCTCTTTAGTCTCCTCCAATACCTCAAAATTTTATACTGCAATTACCGAACCTTCTAGTTTACTAATCAAACTTCTTCCCATTTTTTAACTCATACCATAGAGATTTTGAATTTTGTATCATAAATTTATTATTTATTTGAAATTATATAGAGAGATATTTGAAGACTTCTATAAAAAATAAATAAAAATAAAGATTGTCATAATAAAATTATGTTATTCCAATCATATTGTTCCAATGACTTATCATTTTGAAACCAATGTCATGTTAGAAGACGTGATTCTATGCAAGTGCCAAAGGCATGTAAAATAAGTAGGAAATTGGGTCATGATCACTGTAAAATAGCACAAGTTATTATTAGAAAATCTTTTTGGAATGGTGATAATGTTATTATTAGAAGTCTTTTTGAAATGGTGTGATGATGATTTTAATTCCATATTTTAGTGGAATTTTGTGACAAAAAAGAAAGAAATGATAATTCTGCATTTTAGTAGAATTTTGTGACAAAAAAGAAAGAAATATAGTTTATAGGCACATTTTGGTAAAATGTTGGTAATGCATTTCCTATATTTTTTCTAGACATAGCCAAACAATAACAATGTATTTCTCAAGTTGCATCTAAATACTACCCAAACAATAACAATCCATTTACCGGTAATGTATTACGCCGGTAATATATTTCACGGACAATATATTTTCTGGTATCCAAACGGTCCCTTAGAGGAAACCCTTGAAGAGTCTAGCCATATGTCTCAATAACCACCCTTTGATCAAGTGAACCCACTATTCATACCTTTTGGTTAAATATTTTCCTTGCCGTAATTGGAATGATTAGCACTGATAAATTCTTAATCATTGTTACTGTGATTCTGTTGCATTGCTTTGACAACCCTGTGTTATTGGTATCAGTGTTTCAAAAAGCTCCAGGCAGGTCCTAGGCGGCCTTGGGGGTTTTGGCGGCCTGGGGGGTCCAGGCCGCCCAGTGCTTAGGTGGAGGCCCAATAGAAAAACAGTGTCTTTATTATAGTCTCTAACAGTATAAGTATAACTGTATAAAATATAAGAATTAGGGATTTAGGGCACATCAAAATTCCAGAGTATACCATAACCATAGGTCCATATCCAATTATGAATTATGAATTATTCATAGTCTGATTGATAATCCATAGTCCACACTCCACCACAATCTACATTCCACACATAGTTAAAACTTAAAATTTACCAATCAAATTACCAAAGTTACCAACCAGAAATTCACTATCCACAATACATAACCAAGAGGAGGAAAATAAAAATGAAAGAAATACTTGAAGACTCAAAAGAATCTTCGATCAATGCTCAAAGTTCATTCATCATTCATTATAAAAAAGAGTAGGGTCTACTGCATTTGCATCATATTCATTGGAGTCGTTGCCATCATTATTGTCATCATCTCCCTCCTCGACATAATGGTTGTCCTCGTTTGTCACTTTTGAATCTGCCTCTGCTTCCTTCGCTGTCTTTTTTGAATCTGCCTCTGCTTCCTCCTCTTCCTCCACCCTCGTCCGCTATGCAGAAGATCTAGTGGCCTTAGGAGGGTCGGCAAATGTCCCTGAAGCATCCATGACCATGTCCCATGTCAATCCTTCATGCCCTCGACCTGATCATCATCAACCAACCACTCCATAGCATTGTCCATATTTTTTGATCTGAGGGGGTCTTTCTTATCTCTCTTAGCAAACCTGTCCTTCATGAATTGATTATACTTGACATAGACTTGGTCATTGAGCAGATTCAAGTTTGTTCCTTTTCTCTGTATGAATCTAATAAAATCAAATGAAACTAATTAATATAAATAATTAAATATATAATAGTAATGCTACAAAATAGTCAAAACTAATAACTACTAAGTACTAAATTACTAATACAAATTACCCTTACCCCTTCAAAGTACTCAAATTCTACTCACAACCAGACAAAGTAGTGGTTAGGTTTAAGATTCGAATGGCCAACTTTTGTCAATTTGGAGCACTATACTCATGTTGGCTCCACCAATTGGCTACAAAGATATAGAATAAAATCATAAATAAATAATAGAATTATAGAAATAAAACTTGATTACTTGAACTGTTGAACTTGATGAACTTAAGAATATTATTACTTGGATCAATTTTGGTCCTTTGCCTCCATCACTATTGAACTCCCAAAAGACTTTAATGCGCACTTGTAATATATCAGCTCATCAGCACATATACTGTCTTGGATATTTGGATCAGGGACTAGCACATCTACACAATTATTAAATCTAGTCATAATTGTGTTATTTGTAGTGTATATCCCTATCATATTAAAAGCTGGGTTCAAATAATAACCTGTTGCATGTAATGGCCGATGTAGCTGCTTATCCCACTTCTCATCAATAATCTCCCAAACAGGCGTATAACGGTTCTCATCATCATTTAAATTTTGGGCTCTCTTTCTTGCATTTCTCCATAGCCTCATATATGTAGCCCATAGAAGCCTTGTCACTATCAACCATGCGAAGGACTTTGACAAGAGGGAAAAATACCTTAAGAGCACCCCTCACCCCTTTCCAAAAAGCCTTAGAAAAGATAATATCTCTCACTTTCTTCCCAACCTGATCCTTGGACCACTTGTATGCTCTTCAGTCTTCTGAGGTCAACATCTGCCTCAACTGGACTTTCATCGAATGTATGCTATCTAGGAATAAGTACCAGGTCACAAATCTCGTGTCCTTAGGCCTCACAATCTCTTTTTTCTTTGTAAATCTACGCATCATGCTAAGGGTGAGAGTGTGGCTATAAATGAAATTCGTAACTGACTTTGCCTTGTTCACTGCACCTAATAACTTGGTTAAACCACCAAGAGCCTCCAGCATGAGGTCTATACAATGTGCTGTACATGGTATTCAAAAGATTCTAGGGTAAGCTATGAGCCACAAATTAGCAGCTGCAACATTAAGTGCAGTATTATCTATGACAACTGTATAACAAGTTGCTCCCCAACCTCTTTGATTCCCTTATGTATAATTTGGAATATGTAATGGGCATCATGGATATGATCAAGGGCATCAATAGATCTAAAAAAAACAGTCCTTAAAGGATAATTCACTAGCAAATTCATCTGACTTCTTCACTTCTTATCACTCCAAGCATCAATCATAATAGAAACTCCAAACTGAGCCCATGCATCCTTCTGAACTTCAACAACATCCTTTGTGACACTCATCTCTTTTTTCAAAATAGGCTCTGGAAGCTTATATGGGGTTGGGGGTTTCATCCCTGGCCTAAATTGGCCAATTGCGTAGAAGCTGCTTAGGCGAGCGGTATTGAAAGGAATGCTCGCCTCATAAAACCATGTAGCAACAAAAAAAACAGCTTTATCTCCCTCTTCCTTCTTGATTCTATTTTCAATGGTGGTTTGCTTCTTTGTTTTCTCTCCTGCAACCTCAAGGTCAGGCGGGGCAAAAAACAATCCATAGGGCCTCTAATCTAAGGCTTCTTAGAGACCGAACTCCCAGAAGCAATTACAACTCCCTTTTCCTCCCCCTAATAATGGATTGTTCTACCTCTTGACATCCCTCCCTGTCCTCATCACTGTCATCATCATCATAACTGGCCTGAACATAACCCGTGATAACCATTTATAGTTTTGAACCAAACATTTGTAATCGTTGTTGTCTAAACATAACCCATAGTGCTCCGACCTCCTTTTATGGTTGGAGCATAGTTGTAGTAATCTTGGGGTAAAGCCATGGTCCCACCTCAAGAACTCGATCTTGAGGCTCCTCCATAAGATCTTAGAGGGAGCTTGGTTTAGAGAAATACGGATCTCGCTCCCTATAAAATGGGATCTCAATCTACATGCTGGTAGGATCCCTTCAAGGAGAGGAGCTATATTATTAATTGAACTACTGCTCCTCTCCTTGGTATTATAGATTTATTTCATTAGAATATGTTAAATTATGACACATACCTCATCATGGTATGCTTGAATTGTGGTGTTAAACGACTATAGTTAAATATCATATTAAGCCAATTTATGATATTATTAAATTGTATAATACAATTGAAGTATTATAACTATGGTACAGGTAATAATAAGGTTAACTTTTTCAAAAAAAAATATGGTACTGGTAATAAGCTAAGGTGTACGATAATGGATCTAGTCGGCATTGGCTTGATCCTAATGTTATTATATACCATTAATTGATCTCGTTTTATGTACAATGAAGCTTAGATCGAGATCTCTCCAAGTCAAAACTTCGATCGTAGTGACATGGGATCTCACTCCCAAGGTATCCTAGGATTTAGCTTTTTAACTTATTAATTTTACAGACGTCAATCCTAACTTCAGGTAACTTCCACCCTATAGCGATTCAGTGGTCCTCGATCCGATCCCGCTTCCACCTCCAACAAGTATGGGTTGGAGTGAGATTTATGTCATTGCTTTTGACACAGTGATCAACTAAGTGATTATACGGTGGAAGGCTTTTGACTGTGTAACTGGTCCTATTTTCTTACCTCTAATTTTGTAAATTTTGATTTAAATTTCTTGTCCTTTTATATTATGCTATTTACTTTTCTGCTTTTTGGAATGCAGGTCACCAACATGTTTGCCGTCAGCAGTCGATTTGGAACTCCTGAAGATTTCAAGCATTTGGTGGACCAAGCACATGGTTCATATTTTGAGTTCCTACTCTTGATATCACTTTTGAATTTGATGTCTTTTCAGATTGCATTGCATTTGATGTCTTATAGATACAATCAGAATAACATTTCCTTATGAACTTTGAACAATTTCATGGATCTGAGTGGTGCCAGTATTTTATTCGGCCTTAATTTGATGGAGTGCAGTTGACCTGAACTTATGATCAAAGCCTTCTAGGACCTCTTCAGATGCCTTGGACCGATTTATCAAATGCAAAATGTTGAATAAAACATATAAAAGATAAAGAAATCGCTCACCATGTTGCCTTTTCCCATTTTTCATTCAGTGCCCATGTTCTACTAACATCCTTCATTTTCTGATTTTGCTTGTGACGGTATATTAATTCCTTGTTTAAAAAAGAATACATTAAATTTCCTTTTTTTCAAGTTCTATTTTTCTATGGATATACTTGTTTAATGCTTGATTGCTATATGGTTAGAGTAGTTTGAATATTTCCATGAACCTAGATATGGACTTAACTTTGTATTCCATTTTTTCCTTGGAAAGGTCTGGGATTGCTGGTTTTTTTGGACATTGTTCATTCATATGCAGCGCCTGATGAGATGGTTGGTTTAGCTCTCTTTGATGGATCAAATGACTGCTACTTTCATACTGGTGAGTCTGAACTGTTATGCCAGATTAGACCAATTAACATTACTCAGCTGCAGGATCATTCCTTATGTTAATGGTTCTAAGCCATTTCCTTCATACATGTAACTGCTGACTTTATTGTGTTTAGCTCCTTGCTAGGTCCATTTTGACCCTAATTGACCCTTCTGTTCTCGGTGCAGTGAGGCTTCTCCATCAATATTTATTATGAACTTCACAAACTGCTCCATTTTGATTAAGATTTAAATTCTCCTTCAGAAATGTATTGAATGGCCATGGATTGTGTATATGCTGTATGTGATGTTCTTGTTTTTCAGCTGGCTGTCATTACTTAGCTGGATATATGCATTCTCAGTGTTTTGGTGTTGTTGAATGTTTGGAAGCCCGATGCAAAGTTTAGACAACCTACAAACTATCTGCATTATACAGTGGTGCAAGAAAAGTGTTCTTCTCGGAACTTCATGTCCAATTGTTTCCTCGATTGGGCTTATAGAAGGTATAGCAGCATTTGCTTCTGAGCAAATGTGATGGATAACTTAAATGGTACATTGCCATGTGGTCACAAACATGATGCCAACCAAGGATGCGATATATAATGTTTGTAAGGGTGGTAACTGAAAAAGTGTACACAATCTACAGAAACACTCATATAAAACAACTTGTTTTTCCATGAAGTTTATTTAAATTCTGCCTGAAATCTAGTCACTTATTCTTTGTCACCTGACAAAGAAGTGCCATTTAATATGGAGACATACATGTATCATGTTGAAATTGGCATTGAAGATGGTGATCATCAAAGCTTCGCAAACTATGCACATGGGCTCAGCAAAGTATAAATTTCTACGAAGAAATAAAGATTTTCTACTTCAGATCTTAACCTAAAATATAACACACCATGTGCATGCTGAAAATATCTTCCAATGCATTAAAAAACAACACTACACCAGTGATCCCTGCACACCATGTGTATGCTGAAAATATCTTCCAATACATTGAAAAAAAACACTACACCAGTGATCCCTCCAATAAACTGCTCTGACCAAGATAAGCCTAAAGAACCTCAAAAGTAGGCCTCTGTGTTACTCTCCTTGGCATCATACACTACTGAATCTCTGATGAAAACTCAAATCCAAGAAGATCCAACCGAAAAAACTAGAATGTAGTCTCACCTTCATACTGGTGTACTTGTCATCCCTTCTTCATCCTGAAAGTCATGTAATCTCTGCAAACTATTAGATACGATAGTTAATGGGATCTCCTACTTTGGTAGGCGATCCCGTCTAGGATCTCGATTCTGTCGCTCCTGGAACGGATCTCTCAGGGATCTTGGATTTTGAATTTTGGGATCCCGAGTCCTGCGGTTAGAGATCTCAATCCCAACCTTATTGACCAAGACAACAACCAAATTCAAGATTTTCTTTGTTTATAACCAGCTAGCAACACAACTATATTTTTAATATTGTTACATTGCTTGCTCACTATCAGTAATAAGATCCTTACTTCAAAGAGTATACATAATCCTAGATTATCCTACACTTTTAAGGTTGGTAGTAAGATCCCAAGAAAGTTGGGATCATGATCCCAAAAGATCAGGATCAAGATCCCTAACATGTGCATCACTGCATTGTATGGACAACGTTCCCAACCATAGGGATCTTTTAGTATTTCTTGTTCCCCCGCTTACGTTCCCAACAACTATATTAGAAACCTTCTTGGATTTATTCATTCTCAACCCAAACACTTGTTTGTGCTTTCTAGAAGGTCTTGTGGGTCTCTTTTCTCATAGGCCCTAGGCTTTTCTTGGAGCTTTCCTCTTTCTTGATCACTTTAAAATGCCTAAAATATTGTTTGTATTGGTAGGTATTCTTTATCTTGATGTAATTTTGTTTTTGGTTTAGTTGACCAAATATTTATGTTTTTGTTCAACCCCACTTCCCCAAAAAAAAAAAGAAAAAAATGGGGATAAGTTTTTGACTTCTTTTCTTCTACACTGCTCCTCATCTCAGATGAATTAATAGTGATGGGAGCTTTGCGATGTGATGATTAAATGCATTTAAATACTGGACCAGTGGTCCGCAGTTACCTAAGGAAGCCAATAACTACACTCTTCATTTGGTCTAATCTATTACAATAGCTAACGAAAACATTCTTGTGTTTGTTTTCTACTTCGGCCACTTTGTGACTTGCCTACGTCTCTATGATTTGGGCAAAGTTTATTATTTTCCCCTAAGCTACGTTAGCATCAATATTATCTTATGGCCTTCATTTGGTTTTGAAGACAATGGTGTCCATTACCATATTTTACTATGCTTAGTTGCTTCGTTTTGGAGCATTAGAAGTGTTTTGTGGCAGTATTGCTTTCAACAATAATCCTTGCCATGTGGTACAGGCTCAACTTGCTTGCCACATTACTTGGTGGCATAGATTTTAGTTGTTTTGAGTTAATTCTGTGCACATAATTTATGAATCGTTAAACAAAACATAATGTATATAAAATATATGGTATAGTCAAAAGTAGATGAAAAGTACAAATATGTACTTAAATAACTGAGTAAAATATCCCAATTCATCTGTAAATTGTGAAATATTCTTGCTTAGTTCTATGGAGTAACGCTTATATATTTGGGGACCTTTACTTTATCAAATTTATATTATTTGTTTCAAATTCTCTTGTTTAAGCCAAGAATTGGTTCATCTATCAACCTGTATTATGCAAGTACTCCATGTTTTTCTATTGTGTCGTGCATCGACACACGTCAGCACTTAGACACATGTAGATATTCAACCGGCATGTAGATCGCATGTCTCAGGTTATTCTATTGTTTTCAGGACGAATCTAGAACTTGATGTAAAAGTGTCCTTTTTTCTTACAATAAAAGTTCCATGGCCACATGATACAGTCGTCATTGTTGTCTCCAGGGGTTAAGATTGAACCCCACAGTGATGTTTTTTTAAAATGTTTTTATATAAATATGGTGTTTTAAAAGTAAAAGTTAGGGCCAGGTTTGGAACCCACGATTTGTTGTAGGGGTTGGTAAAGTTTACCACCGTGCTAAGAGCGCTTATGCATATATAGTATGCAAATAGTTAATAAAATACTATACAAATTGTTACTGCATATTAAGGAAAAATGTGAAACTTAACCATTGAGGTTTAATCCCTGATCTCCTTTATAAGAGCCACTGCACATTACCACTATGAAGACATGTAGTTTGTGTAAAGAAATCTAAATTTTCTGGGTAGACTTGGTTTTTCATTATTGAAATTTATGAACAGACTTTTCTTGCCACATTGGTCTTTTTAGATGAACTACTGGATATTCTAGGGTGTGTACACTGGCATCAACATGACTGGTTTAATGCATATCTTTGTGACTTGTGAGGAGGTGTATTTACTGCAACAACAACCCCATGTAATTCCTCCCCTTTTGTGCTCATTCAGAATTGTGGTGAAAAATTCCCCTTAATAAAGAAATCATTTTCTGTTACCTATTCCCTTTAGGCTTTCCTATTCCTGGAATAATAGGCAAACTAGTTCAAATTCTTTTTGTCACTTCCCTCATTGATTTTCATTGAATGTCTATTCAAGTTCAAATTCCATGTCCTTATTACTATCCTTATATGTCGTTTTATAATTTCACAAGTTATTCAATTTTGTAATATCCATGAGGTATATTTCTTTGGTACTTAGAATGCGTCTTGCATTTAGTGCACTGGTTTTGATATGCCTGTGTTTAATTGACTAAATCCCCTATAATGGCTTAAAAGGATGCACATATGCTCAGGTAAACGAGGATACCACAAACACTGGGGTACAAGAATGTTTAAGTATGGGGATCTCGATGTGCTGCATTATCTTCTCTCAAACCTGAACTGGTATAATTGGCATATTGGCTAATTTTGTTTTATTATTGCACTTTTTTTTTTCGTTCTACTTATTTGAAACAAGGGAAAGGTTTCTATACTTCCCCTACAACATAGAAGATCTATGTTTCCCCTACCATCCAGCCGTCCAATTTTGATCAAGAGAGCCACTCACCGTTTGATCTTAGATCCGACATCTCACAGTATTTTATTTTTATTTATTTATATACAAATTGTATGAATATAAAATTTGGTATGTGCCATCTTCTCATTGGGGCGCACCTATAAAAGATATTAAAAATAATTTTTGATAAAATATAATGACCAAAATACCCCTTGAAACTTTCAGGGGTATTTTGGTCATTTTATTTTATTGGAAATAATTTTTTAATATTTTTCGCTACTGCGAGTTTAATAGAGGATACAAAATTTGGTATCAAAATAGTTTATAGAAAAAAATTTAAAAATAAAATAGTGTAGAGACGTGACATTGTGATTGGGGCAATCTTAGGCCTCCATTCAGAATGGAGGGTTGGATAAGGGGAAGTATATAAGTTTTATGCTGCAGGGGAAGCATAGAAAGCTTACCCTTGAAACAATGCATGTAGCTTGCAATAGATGCAATCAATTTGAATGCTCCACTGAGTATTGATATCATAGGTGCTTACAAAAACACTTTTTGGATAGGTGGGTCGAGGAATATAAAGTTGATGGTTTCCAGTTCCACTCACTCTCTTCAATGATATATACACACAATGGCTTTGCTTCTTTCACCGGGGATATAGAAGAGTAAGTAATAGATTTGTTGTTTCTGTAGTCCTGGTATATGCTATGCAATTATTTCATGGTAGTATTGTCCTTCGATATATAATTTTATTTTCACATTTAGTAAATTTTTCTGTTTGTTAGTCAATTGAATCATGGGCATCATTGTTATTGAATTTTTGCTTCTGTCAAATTTATGTGCACGTAACCGAGTATGAGTTTTGAACGTTTATATGAATTAGTCTATTTTTTACTCTCAGTGCAAGCTGATGAGCCTTGTTCATTGAAACTGGTTCTGTTTTCTACCAATTCAGCTGTGTCAGTTGAGTCAATGGGTGTGTTTGGTATCATTGATTTGTAGCTACCTTTAGAAGCCTTTGAAGCCAGGCTTTCCAAATCAACCATTTGTGAGATGCCTGTGATGCCATTGTGTTTGGATGGGAAAATTCAACTTCCCCATTATCTGGTCCTGTGTTCCCTCCTTGATGGACGCTACTATACCCGACTCAATATGCTTAGCACACTCCGAGGTTGGCCTATGAGGTGTCTTTTGTTCCCTGGTAAAACAGCCTGTTGGCCTTCTCCTGAGAGAGCATTTTCAACGTGGAAGGTTCCAATTTGAACATTATAAACACTGAAATTGGGCTCAATTTCCTTGAGCTGTTTTGGAATCTGTATCCTCAGTTTATTTCCTTTCTCCCCTGATGCACCTACTTTCCCCCTGTGCTGAGAAGTCTTCAACCATTATCCCCTGGGATGACTTCCATCTTTCATGATCTTGAAAAACCAGCATCAATTATAAACTGAGATCATCCCTCAAATTACTTACATTGCTGGTTTTCTTACTTATGGAATCCATGTTTCCCCGTTGGCTGGCCTATTTTCTCGCAAGGAAATAGGAAAGTTTGGGAAGTTAAGACATTTTCTAGCAGAACTATCTTCATCTCTGAGTTTGGAATCCACCTTTGACTTAAATTCTAAATTGTTGACGTCCACAAATTCATTGACTAGATGTGCAACATAACCTCTTCATTGAAATGATGAATGAGAATATGTATGCGATTGATCTCTCTCTGATTCTAGCCAGTGGGGGTTGCTTCTTAATCAGAAATAACTTTTTTGGAAGATGGATCGTGTATTTCTTATTTGTCAAGATAGTCGGAGAGAATACCATTCTTAAAGGTTTTGATGGTTTTCCTATTTTGTACCTTATCTCCGAAAAGACTGCAAGCAAGAACCTCTGCCTATGTGATTTTGGGATAGTGTTATCATCAGCCACATTTTGATAAACAGTTAAAGCGACAATATCTTGAACCCTTTAAGTGCAACTAAACTAATTGATACTCCTCCAGTCCCTCCGCAGAAGCTAGGTAGTAATGCATCAAGAGAACCACATTCAGCCATTAAAGTTCTCTTTGAACCCACTTTTGGGGCAGTGAGGTTCCACCTCCATGTCTCACAAATCTGTCATGGCTTGTGGCTTCCTAGTCCTAGAAGATTGGATTTATTTCTTTACATACGCGTATGTCATCTGCTGCCATGGTCACACACACTCGTGCATGTGCTCATGTTACATGTGAAAGTGATGAAATAGTATAGCTGGAGCACACACATTGGTGGTCCCTCCTTCATTACTGTCCTTGAATATTCCATGTTAGAGAAGGGGAGCAGGCCGATATCCACAAGATGTGGAACAACCCTTATTGTAATAATTAACCAAAAAATCAACATGTATGGGCATACATCAAATTAGTACCAGGTCATACAGGCTATTGCCAAGTATACTTAGTAGAAGAAAGGAGAAAAAAAAAAAATGAAAATGAGTTCTCTCAATGGATGCACTGCATCATTCACAATAAGACTCTTCTGCCCTTTCTTTTGAAAGCCTATCTAAAAACTCTTTGGCTTTATGATAGATGCAATGAAAAGAGCATATGGTGTCCAATCCATTCCTGCCAGAACCTTAGCCAGTTGCCTTTGTTTAGAATGACCAATCCCCTTGTCCAATCTGAACCTTCAAATGGATGGTGCATAGTGGGAAGCAGTATTCAAATACTCGGTTGAGTTGACTTGGACTTTGCCGACTTACTCACACTTTGTAACCTCTTGGGAATGAACTCAGAAATTACAAAATATAGCATTCTATTTTTTGAATCAATGCATAAAAGTTGTACTATAAAATGTTTATATATAATTCGTTGCTTTTGATGGTGATTTTTAAGTTTATCTTAGTTTATGCTCTATTTTCTCATGTACCCCTTTGTCTGGATTTTATTGTACTATTTCCAGCTATAAATCAATTTTTAATTCTTAAGTTTAGCCTTCCCACCTCCACATAAGCGTATCAAAGAGAGTAATTGACCAATTTACCCCTCTTTGCATTTGTAAGTCGAAGTCTGCTTTTTTCACTTCTCATGTTTTGTTGTTCAAGTTTCATCCTTCCTCGAAACCCCATCTTCTGTGTGTGTGTGTGCGTGTGCCCACACGCATATGCGTGTGTGCGTGTGTGTGCGTGCGTGCATGGGTGTGTGGATGTGTGTGTGTATGTGCATGTGTGTGTGCTCATTCACTCCTTGCCTTTTCTCAGCAAAAGCCTTGAGTTCTTCCCTCCACTCTTGTTTCTCTTTGAGAAGCCAAACCAACCCATTTTTCCTTAGAAAAAACACATTTTTTTTGTAGTAATTTATCAAAATAATTTCTTAACAATAAGAATTACAGGAAAAGGAGCAAAGCTCACTGAGATTTATTAATACTCATGTGAAATTTCCGCTTTGATAATGATGCAAGGAGGAGGGGAAAGAAAATAAATAAATCAGAAAAATAAATAATAAAAATAAAGGATGAGAGATTATACCCTTTGTTAGGGTCTGTAAAGGAGTCCACACAAAAAGATCTTTTTCTAATATCCAAAATACACTATACTTCTCTTCTTTATTTTTTTTGACCTAAGAGTTACATAGTTATAAAAGAAAACAACCATAAAACCTAACTTGTTCCCTACGAAACAATAACTAAATCTCAACTATTTATCTTTAAAAAAAAATATAAACTTCCAAATTTACTCCGCAATTCTTTACAACTAAAAGGACCAAAACACCCCTAAGGGAAACTAGAAACCCAAAATAATCCCAAACCTAAAATTTTAATTTCCTATAAATAAAAGAAAAAAAATAAAAAAACCTAATTACATCATTCTCCCGGGGTTGGGAGAAGCTCAACCTCGAGCTTGTTGAGTTTATCATATCCTCTAAAGGCCTTTCCAATAGTTGGTGATGCAGTCCCACCATTTACCTTAGGATTTTATCTTCTTCAGTTGACCAATTGCTCAAACACTTATATTATAAATTATAGGGGAACTGTAGGATGTCAATCATGATCTTGGTTTCTTTTTTGAGCTCCTCATAAAACTAGGGAAGTTTGACCTTATATTGAGATCTCGTGAACGCTCTACAAAATGTGGGTCTTGCTTGCAAATTTGCTCAATACATTCAAGATTGACACCATGAGTCTGTAGTGGGGCTCGATGCATCTCTAGGACGAAATTTGGTGCCAAATCTACATTGTTGCGAGCATCCTCTTCTCGATGAACGGTATTTTTCTAACCGTTGCAACCGCCAATTAATTTCACTCATCTCTCCTCAAAGTTCATAGATCTCATCTCATATGCCTTCCATGGCTTTGTTTATGCTCTTTATAGTCTCTTCAAATTGTTGTTTCACAACTTTTATAATTTGTGGCAGTATATCATCAATCATAGAAATGGGTTGTGATAGATGGATTTTGTAGGCTCTGATACCAATTGATACAGGAAGGACGGGAAAGAAAATAAATAAATTACAAAAATGAAAGATAAAAATATAGGATAAGAAATACACCCTCCCTCAGGGTTTGCATGGGGGTCCTCCAAAAAAAATCTCACAAGATCCAAAATAAACTTTTCTTCTCTTCTTTATCTTTTTTGATGTAAGAAGCACGTATTTATAATTTGTAAAAGAAAGCAACCCTAAACTCTTAACTTGTTCCATAAGAAACTTTGACTAAATCTCAGCCCTTCATCTTTTAAAAAAATAAAGCTCCAATTTTTCCCCTCAATTATCTATAACTAAAGAAGACCAAATGGCTCTAAAAAAAACAACTGGAAACCTAAAATATTCCCAAACCTGAAATTTTAATTTCTTAAAAATAATAAAATAATGAAAAACCCTAATTACATTAGATAACCTTCCATTATTGCCTGAATTACGCAATGATATATTAAGTTTGCTACGAATACAATTGTGCACTTGTAAAAAGGGATTCTTTGTTCAATTAGTACATTGGGAAAGAACCAATAAAGGGTTTTTTAAGAATAACACCATAGGGGCACTGCAACTAGCTCAAGTCAATGTGACCAAAGAAAAATTTGTTGCTATGACCTTTGAATAAAACTGTAGCAGGCACGCCAAAATTGTGGGTCGACTCAAGAGCCTCCAAACTTGTTTCTAATAATATTTCTAATAATAGAAACTTGTTTGGGACTCTCACGAAATGGTGGGGGAGGATACTGTCCTTTATATGGACAATTCTTCTTCCTCCAAAGTAGTTGGTAAAGGGACGGTAGAATTCACGTTCGGTAAAATCCTCACGCTTCTAGTTGTCAACCTTGCCCCTGAAGTCCGCAGAAATCTTTATAAGCATTCCTTCTGATCATGAGGAGTTTCTTTGAGTCCGACATTTCATCTTGTCGAAGAATGGTGCCTTTGTAGGTATGGGATACGCCTCTGATGGCATGTTCAACCTCAATATTATCAATGAAATAGGTACCTATTTTTCTGTGTATATCCATGATTCTCTCTCTTTATGGCATGATAGATTAGGTCATCTTATTTATCATGTTTTGAAAAAAAATGAGTACTTTAAATCTTATTCCTAAGCATGAAAATTTGGAAAGTACTCTTGTGTGATGTGTGTGCACAATCAAAGATCACAAAGAAATCATTCCTTGAAGTAGAAAGAGGTTCCAGGTTACAAGAATTAATGCACAT